CTATTGCCAATCACTAAGGTTTCAGGGGAAAAGTGATCCTCCTCCGGGTGTGCCTGAGCTGCTTCTGGTATCCTAAGAATCCGGAAGTGAGTAAGGGATGACAGGTTGGTCAGCAACCCAGACAGAATCCCAAAGGAGGTCACAAGCTCCAAGAGAGGCAGTGACGCCACTGTGGGCCCTCGGGGGGGCAGCACCCATGCCAGGATTTACATCCAGGTCTCTCTGAACTCAGGATAGTGCTCTTTTCACTGCAGGATGGCTACTCCCAGAAGGGCTGCCTTGGCTGTAATTTCTAGTCATTTTCCCTCTCTGTTAAAAAAGGAAGTCGAAGGGAGTATGGGGGACGGGAAGGGAAGCAGCTTTAGAAGGACAGAGACCACCAAGCAGGTGGTGTCCATGGCCCCAGTGCTGGCTGAGTCATGACCTCCAGGCTCAAAATGGGACATGTGGTCTGACAATCAATTACTATTTACATCCTGTCCGTGGCCACTGGGTGCGGGGAGACAGCAGGTGCTGTGCAGAGATTCAATGGGGTCAGACTGACCTTCCATTTAATCCAAACTCAACCACTTTCTAGCTCTCTGAGCCTCACCTACCTCTTCTCTAACATGGGTAGTTGTGAGGACTCAGTGAGTAATTGTGCAATTAATGAGACATGTGTGTAAAGTGCCTAGTAGCTATTTATTCATTCATAAATTCATCTATTCAGAAAAAAAAAATTATTAAACACCAACTATGTAGGGCAGCCTGTTAGTGATGCAGCTACAATGGCAAACAAAACAGACTCAGACCCTCATAGAGCTTAGAGTTTGGTGAGGAAGTAAGTTGTTAAACAAACGATCAGATGGATCAAAATACAATTAGAAGCTGTGATAAGGAACAAGAAGGCAAAGTGCAATGTGTTTATAAGAGCAAATGTCAAGGGATGGGGTGGGGTTGGAGGACGCTTCCTGAAGAGGTGATGTCTAGAGTGGGGCTGAACGAGGCAGCAGGTAGTTGAGAGAAGTGTTGCAGGCCTAGGGAGAGGGTGTGGACGACATCTAGGCCAATAGAGATAGTGGCAATGCGAAGGGAGGACAAAGCCCTCTGGGGCCTAAACAAACGTGGTGTTGCAGGGAAGGGAACCTAGCTTTGAAAGTGGGGCTATTCTCCAAGGGCATCTATATTTTTCTGATAGTTCCTGAAAGAATGCAAGCTCTGAGGCCAACCCATCTGGATTTGAATCTTGGCTCTGCGATCTTATTTTAGACTGTGTGACCTTGAGCAGTCACTACACCTCTCTGTGCCTCAGCTACTCTTCTGAAAAAATGGGGATAATAATAGGGAGCCATAAGGTGGAGGTGAGGATTCAACGTGGAAATGTGTACAAAGCATTCTGGCACATGAGGGCACTCCGTAAAATGGTGCTTGGTTTTCCCGGCATAAAGGGAGGTGAACCTGAGGCAACAGATCCAGCAGATAGGTGCATTTGGGAGAAAGCTGGTGCGAGAGGCTATACACTGGGCAAGTTGTCATCTGACCTTAATTGTCATAGAAGACTTTGGAGCCATGCAAACTTGGGTTCAGCCATGGCCAGTGTGGCTCAGTTGGTTAGCACGTCGTCCCATATACCTAAATGTTGCAGGTTCAATTCCCAGTAAGGGCACATACCTAGCTTGTGGGTTCAATCCCCGGTTGTAGCACAAACGGAAGTCAACCAATTGTTGTTCTCTTTCACATTGATGTTTTTCTTTCCCCTGCATTCTAAAATCAACAAGCATATCCTTAGATGAGGATTGAATAAAAAAAACAACAACAAAAACCTGGGTTCAAATCACAGTTATACCACTTGCTAGCAGAGTGATGTTGGGCAAGTGACGTCACCTATCTGAGTCTCAGTTTCCTTATCCATAAAATGGAGATCATAATTGTTTCTATTTCCCAGAGCTGTGAGGATTAAATAAGAATAAACGTGAAGCACTTAGCACAGTGATCGGCACATAGTAAGCAGTTGTTGAATGTTAAATTTTTAAAAAATATTTGTATTGATTTCAGGGAGGAAGAAAGAGAGAGAAAGAGAGAAACATCAGTGATGAGAGAGAATAATTGATTGGCTGCCTCCTGCAGGCCCCACACGGGATTGAGCCCACAATCTGGGCTTATGCCCTGACCGGAATCAAACTGTGACCTCCTGGTTCATAGATCAACACTCAACCACTGAGCCACGCCAGCTGGGCTGAATGTTAATTTTTAATAATAATAATTATTGATATCAGCAGTTACTACCTATACTAGATAAGACTCTGGGGCTTTGCTTGAAGGTTGTCTGGCAATAGGAGCCTAGGTAGTTTCTGCTTTTAGACAATAAAGATAGACAAGTTGCTTTCAGAGGGGGTAATGCTGTCATTTTAATGGTGGTAATAATAAGCACTGATGTTGACTATTTACTATGTGCCAACTATGTGTTAAGTGCTACAGATGCATTAGCCATGCCCTAGCTGGTGTGGTTCAGTTGGTTGAGCATCATCCCATGCACCTAGAGGTCATCTGTTTGGTTGACTTCTAGTCCCACACATGACCAGGTCGCAGGCTCAATCCCTGGCAGGAGGCATGCAGGAGGCAGCCGATTGATGTTTCTCTCTCCCTTCCTCTTTAAATTCAATTTTTTAAAAAAAACAAACATTATAAAACAAATAAATAAATCTGCATAGCCAGTCCTGCAAGTCAGGTCCTATTATTATCATCATTTTACAAATGAGACAAAGGAAACCCAGAGAGGTTAAGTGACTTGCCGAAAGCTCCCCAGCCAGGGAATTTAAATCAAACCTTGATTTTGGGGGGTTTGCTGTTCTTGAGGGCAAGCCCTCCCTCTTCTATTCAAACAATTAGAGTTATCACCTGGAGTTAGAGGGATAAAATTATTCACTGCCCCCTAGCTGCTTTGGTTCAGTGGATAGAGTATAGGCTTAGATTTTATTCCAGTCAAGGGCACATATCTCGGTTGCAGGCTCAATCCCCAGCCCTGATCTGGGCACATGCGAGAGGCAACCAATCGCTGTGTTTCTCTCATTGATGTTTCTCTCTCTCTCTCTCTGTTTCTCCCCCACCCTTCCACTCTCTCTAAAAATCAATGGAAAAATATCCTCGGGTGAGGATTTACAAACAAACAAACAAAATTATTCACTATTAGTAGCAAGTCCCCAGGTTCCCAAGGCCAACCCTCATTCCTTTCACATCAATTCTAAAAAGTAACCCAGGTCTATTCCTTGTCCCCTGAGGCTGATAAGAGCAGGAAACAGACCCTCTTCCTCTACCAGGGGTATAAAAGATATTTAGAGTCACCAGAACTGGGTCTGAGTCCCAACTGTGCCACTTAATGGGTCTGTAATCTTGACCAAGTCACACCCCCTCTCTGAGCCTCAGTTTTCTCATCTATGAAATAGGCACAATAACAGCCCTGCCTCTGGGGCTGTTGTGAGGAGCAGAAAAAACAAGGCCTGCATAAACTATAAAGTGCTATCAGCACAAGAGTTCCTCTCCTGGTTGCTATGGGGATGGCAAGCACTCTGGGAACGCAGCCCAAACCAATATAACAGGCAAAATAGCCTTCTCTGAAAAACAGTCCTGGGTTCGAGTCCAAGATCTGCCTTTTACACTCTGTGTGACTTTGGGCAAGTTATGTAACCTGGCTGAGCCTCAGTTTTCTCATCTACAGAATGGAGTGAATACTGCTGATCTTGTAGAGCTGGGAAGAAACCATGAAATTGCATAAGAAGTCATGAGTCAGTGGCTGGTACAGAGCTGGCAGAGCGAAGCCTGCTAAGGGGATTCTAGGGGAAGAGACCAAAAAAGAATCACCCTGACCCCTCCATGCCACCCCTTATCTGAGGGGAAGATAGTAGAGAGCTCTGTGCTCAGAGTCTAGAATGGTTTCCAGCCACTAACTACCCTACCTCTGGCAGAATTCTCAGCTCAGCTGGTCTGTCTCTCTCTCTCTCTCTCTCTCTCTCTCTCTCTCTCTCTCTCTCCCCCTCTCTCCCCCCTCTCTCGTCAAACAAGTTCTTCTCCACTGAGCAATCCCAGGGGGCCCCATCCTCGGTTCCAGCCAAGCTCCAAGGCTTTCTCCGCCTCCACATCCTTAATCCACAGCCTTTGCATTTGCCATTCCTTCCACCTGGAATGCTCTCTCCTCCTGGAGTGCCTTTGATGGGGCCGAGGCGGATGCTGGAGGGAAAGGATCTGGAATGATGCTCCCCCACCTCCTCACTCCCCTCCCTTGCACACCCCATGCTGCATGCCTGACCTCCCCCTCCCAGCTTGGGGACGAGGCAGCGCTGGGAGGGGGAGGAAGAGGGGGAGAGCTCAGCGAAGAGCCCTCTGTGGGGTTTTTCACCTGCTCAGAAGAGGCAGACGGAAATGAAAGCTCTAGAAAAAGCGCCTGCTGCTCTGCTCCCGAGGCCCCAGCTTAGTGAAGCCTCCCTGCCTTCCCACTGCGCCATCTTCTCTTCCTCCCCCTCCTCCTGCAGGCAGGTGCCACAGTCAAGGAACATTGGTGGGCGGCAGGCCTGAGAGACCAGGGTTCAAATCCCATTTCTGCCACTTACCCAGTGAGTGGCCTGCTTACACCACATTTCTTTGTGAAAGGACACAACAATCCCTGCCTTTCAGGCTGCTGTGAGGACTGCGATGCCGGATGAAAGTGCCTGGCACAACCGAAGTGCTCAGCAATGGAGAGCACAGCAGTGACAGCAGACACACCATGCCCAGGTGCGCCTGGCACAGTTCTCAGCACCTTGCACACATTAGCTTCTTTAATTCCTGATAAGGTAGATACCATTACTATCTCCATTTTACAGATGAGGAAACGGAGGCACAGAAAAATTAGATAATTTGCCCAAGGTCACACAGCCAGTAAGAGGCAGAACATAATCTCTGTTCTCACCCACTTCACTATGGTGTGCTCAGTGATGGTTGGCCATTATTATTGTTAATACTAGGGGCCCAGTGCACAAATTTGTACACCTTGAAAGGAACTGTGGGCCGCGAGGCTGCAGTAGGCACAGGGGTGGGTCTCGGCCCATCCTCCATGCCCCCCCGCCCCTCCCACCATGCCCCTCCCAGTCCCTGTAGGCTGGCAGCCTCGCTCCCGCTGCCACTCCCACCCGCTGACAGCGCAGAGCAATTGGGGTCGGCGCCAGCAGTGGGTGTGAGTGGTGCCGGTGCCATCAGCAGTGCAAGTGGCGGCGGCTGCCCCGAGCGCCCCTCAGGAGCAGGGGGAGGTGGAGAAGCCCTCAGGGGCTATCGGGCCAGCAGCCACCTGCACCACTGAGTGATTGGGACTGGCACTGGGCTCCGGCACCGGCTGCCAGTGGGGCTGGCACTGGCAGTGGGTGCGAGCACTGGGCGGGACCATGGTGAACAGGAGCAAAGAATTTTCAGTAATCACCAGAGGCTCGCCCCAGTGAGAGCAACCAGCGCCCTGCCTTGGTCTGGCGCCCCTGCTCACCTGCTTCACCATCCGGCTGCATCCAACACCTGCTATGTTCAACGCACACCCCCTGGTGGTGAGCACACGTCATAGCAACTGGTTGTTCGGTTGTTGGGTTGTTTTGGTTGTTCTGCCATTCGGTCTATTTGCATGTTAGCCTTTTATTATATAGGATTATTTGTTCTTATCTATCTCTTTCCTCCTACCTTCAAAATCCTGCCTAAATTTTCCCTCCTTTGTGACATCTCTTAGTCTATTCATTTAACAAGCATATATTGCTATCTGCTTTGGCCAGGCCTACGCAGGGCAGTGGGGACCCAAGAGTCAATCCACCCAGTCTCTGCCTGCCAGTGGCTCCCAATCTGTTGAAGGAGAATACACATACATAAAAATTACAAAAAGAAGAGGGAGACACCAGCCCTGGCTGGGTAGCTCAGTTGGTTAGAGCACCGTCCTGATATGCCATTGTTGTGGGTTCAGTTCCCAGTCAGGCCACCTAAAGAAGCAACCAGTGAATGCATAAATGTGGAAAAACAAATTGATGTCTCTCTCTTTCAAACAAACAAATAAATAAATAAATAAATAAAATTTAAAAGAGGGAGATGCCAATTCAGCAGGAGCTGTGAGCTCACAGAAGCATAGAACTTAACTGGGGGTTGGAACAGGCTTACAGAGGAGGGGTCATCTGAGTGGGGTCTTGAAGAATGAATAGGAGTTCCTCAAACAGAGTTATGAAATGGGAACATAGAATATGATGCATAGTCCCAGGTTTGATTCTGATCAAGGGCACATGCCTGGGTTTCAGGCTCAATCCCCAGTAGGGGGCATGCAGGAGGCAGCCAATCGATGATTCTCTCTCATCATGATGTTTCTATCTCTCCCTCTTCCTTCCTCTTTGAAATAAATTTAAAAATAAAAAATAAAAATAGGAAACTCCAATAAAAGTTCTGATTTTGTCCATGAACACTATTTCAATAATTTTTTTTTTAAATTATCAGCCTGGCCAGTGTTGCTCAGTGGTTTAGCATCAACCCAGGAAGCAAGAGGTCGCCGGTTTGATTCCTGGTCAGGGCACATGCCCAGGTTGCAGGCTCAATCCCCAGTGGGGGGCATGCAGGAGGCAGCCATTCAATGATTCTCTCTCACCATTGATGTTTCTATCTCTCTCTCCCTTCCTCTCTGAAATCAATTAAAAAAAAATATTCTTAAACAACAAACAACATTTTTTAAAAATAATTTGATGTTTGATAATTTTTAAAAAATATTTTTTTATTGATTTCAGAGAGGAAGAGAGAGATAGAAACATCAATGATGAAAGAGAATCATTGATCAGCTGCCTCCTGCATGCCCCACATTGGGGATCGAGCCCATTCAGAATTGAATTGTGACCTCCTGGTTCATAGGTTGACACTCAACCACTGAGCCATGCTGGTCGGGCTGAAAATAATGTTTTTAGTGCCCCTGCTTGGCTGGTGCCTAAGCACATGGCTGCTCTGCTCACTGGGTAATCTAACAGGGTGATAGGCCAGAGGGAGTCCAGCAGGTGAGAGGTGGAGAAGGGTGTGGCAGGCACTAGGAATTTCACCTGCAAAGGCCCAGAGGCAAGAGAAAACGTGGTGGGGAGGAAGGAAATCTTTCAATGGAGCTGGCGGGTAACAGTGGTGGGGAGGAGAACTGGACTAGATTCTCAGGGTGCTGGGAAGGCACTTTTAACGGGGATTTGTCATAATCAAATGTCCTTTTTGTGAGATCACTCTGAATATTTCTAGAGACTTATTTACGGTTTGAATTCATTCATTCAAGAGACCATGTATCTACTGTGTTTCAAGCACCCACCCAGGCCTGGGGCTGCAACAGATCATTAAGGGTTGTGCAGGCAGAGCAAGACGAGGCAGGGACACCGAGCTCCACACCTACAAAGGTGTCTGAATGGATAAAGGTTTGGAGTGTGAACGTGTATGACTTCCACAGAGAGAAAGGTAAGCCCATGCTGGACAACGAAGCGGCAAAATGGGAGATGGCGCTCGGGGAACTTGCAGTGAGAGATCAAGGATTCACACAAGAGAATAAAGGAATGAGAGCAGGAGTGGAGGCGATCGATGACGGGTGAATCCTGATCTCGTGACCTCCATAGAAGGTGGCCGAGTGGGCAGAGGGGCAGAGGCCCCAGCCAACCCCTTCAGCCGCCCATGCTTTCTCAGCCCTGCTGAGCCCTGCAGCTTGTGCTCTGGCTCTAGAAATCAGACCAAACTGAAGGAGAACAGAGGCGGGTGAGGATGGGGTGGGCCGGGACACAAGCCCAGACCTCTCACCCCAGCAGGGCCTTCCTTCCCAGTGGCTGGAGCCAACCCAGTCGAGGAATCAGAGGTTACAGGGAAGGATTAAGGAGTTGGTTGCTTTTTTACCCAAAATATGGCTGCATTTCTCTCTCTCTCTCTCTCTCTCTCTCTCTCTCTCTCTCTCTCTCTCTCTAGAAAAATGTTCCTGTACACGCACCCGGAGGCTTTTGCAGGAGGCGGCTGTTGGAGAACCGGGAAAACAAGCCAAGAAACAAGAGAGAGGAAAAAGACCACGCCTTGCCTGGCAGATTCCTAATGGCCCAGGAGACCTGAGGCTTTACAGAGGGAGTCCGGTGGGGGCTGCCTTGGGTGGGAGGGAAGGGCAGGCCGAAGGACAGCCACTTGCTGGCTGGTGACCTTGGGCGGGATGCTGCCTGCTTTCCTCTGGTGAGAATGGGGAGGAGGGGGGCAGGGGCAGGGCTGGCCAGCTGAGGTCACAGGAAGGCCCCTTCGAGCCTGAAACGCGATCTCGGGATGTGGGGCCTGCCAACCTGCAGCGACCCTGGGCCAGCAGAGATGAAAGGCTGCCTGTCCCCAGCTTCCGGACCCCTGAGGCCCCAATGCCTCAAACTTGAAGGGCAGTAAAGCTGCTACAGCTGGCTGGAGCTGGTTGTTGTGCTCCCCACCCCACCTGATGTCATCCAACCCTCCCTTCCCTGTTTTGCAGAGGACACTCAGGCCCAGAGAGGGCTGGTGACCTGCCCAAGGTCACACAGCAAATTGGAAGCGGAGCCAGGACTCATCACGAAGTCCTTGGACTCCAAGTCCAGGCCTCATTCCCTTTCCCAGAAACTTGGCTGCCTGGGGGTTTACCCTGGGGAGTTGGAGAGACCCAGGCGTAGGGAGGACAGTTAGGAGCTGTGTCTGTTTGAAAGCTTAATGTTGACTAAAGTGCCTTTTTTTTTTTTTTTTAAGACAAAAAGAACCGTTCCAGTCCCTGACATGAGCCTGGGCTTGCTCTGCTGGCAGGGGAAGGAATGCAGTTCTGGCCGCCACAGCTGCTGGTGGCCAGCTGCGGCTTCAGCTCTTGCTGCTCCCACCCCAGCGGGCAAAGGGACAAAGGCCTCTTCTCAGGCCTGTCCCCTCCAGCCCCTTGGATCAGTGGGGGCAGAGAATCTACCAGGAGGTGGGGTCACTGACCAGCCAATGACTTAGCTGTTCCTCTCTGGATCTCAGTGCCCGTTCTGGAAAATGGGGGCAGAGTATTCGCCTGACTGACTTCTCAGCGTTGTTTTCCAAAGAGGTGAGGTTACAGAAATGCATTCTTCTCAACTGCGGGGCTGCCTACTCAGAGAGCCCTCTGCCGCCAGCGCCCCCCCACCCGCTCATGCCTCACCTGGCCAGCCCCTGCTCACTCCGCTCGGCTCAGCAGAACCATCCCCTGCTCTGGGAGCCTCCCCCCACCTCCAGCCTGTGCTGCTTCTGGGTATTAATGGTATTAATCACTGCGGTAATTAAATAATTAATTGTGTAATTGGATCTGTCTCCCCACTAAACGTGAACCCTGTAATAATAATAGCTGACACTGACTGAACGCTTCCGCGGTGCCAGAGACTACAGGTATTAACTAACCCACTTCATCCCTTTGGCAGGTACGTTAGTTCCCCATCTTACAGACGAGGAAACTGAGACAAGGAGAGGTTCCGTACGTCACCTGAGGTCACAGCAAGTTGGAGGCTGAGCCGGGACTTAGCCCAAAGAAGTTGCAGAACCAGGATTCAAACCCAGACCCCAAGCTATAACCATTACCCCACTAATAAGTCAGCTTGTTTCCTGCCTATTCCCAGCTCCCAAAACATCTGGTATACAGTAAGTGCTCCATGTACAAACAGTAGGTGACTGAATACATAAACAGGTAACGAGTGCACAGGAGTATTTGGAGGAGAATAAAGCACCTTCCAGGAGTGCGTTTTTCGGGACCGTATGTATGGTGAGGGGAGCAAGTGCCTGATGGACTACAGTCGTCCCCATTATCTGCCTTTTCGCTTTCTGCAGTTTCAGTTACTTGCGGTCAGCTGAGGTCTGAGAATATGAAATAGAAAGTTCCAGAAATAAACAATTCATACGTTTTCAACAACGCACCATTCTGAGTAGCATGATGAAATCTCTCACTGACCCACTCTGTCCTTCCCCGGTACAGGTACCCACGCTGTATACACTCCCTGTCACCTTGTTAGTCACTTAGTAGCCACCTCAGTTATCAATCAGATCAACTATCGCTGTAGCACAGCGCTTGTGTTTTACTTCATAATGGCCCAAAGCAAAAGAGTAGTGATGGTGGCAATTTGGACATGCCAAAAAGAAGCTTAAAGTGCTTCCTTGAAGAGAGAAGGGGAGTATAGTACAATAAGATGTTTTGAGAGAGAAACCACGTTCACATAACTTTTACTAGAGCACATTGTTATAATTCTATTTTTTTAAAATTGATTTGAGAGAGAGAGGAAGGGAGAAGGATAGAGATGGAAACATCAATGAGAAACATCGATTGGCTGCCTCCTGCACGCCCCCTACTGGGGGTTGAGCCTACAGCACGGGCATGTGCCCTGACCAGGAATTGTACCAGTGACCTCTGGGTTCATGGGTTGGCACTCAACCACTGAGCCACACCTGTCAGGCATAATTGTTCAATTTATTATTATTATTAACATCTTACTGTGCCTAATTTATAAATTAAACTTTATTATAGGTATGTATGTATAGGGAAAAAAACATAGTATATATAGGGTTTGGTACTAATCTGTGGTTTCAGGCATCCACTGGGGGACTTGGACATCGCCCACAGATAAGGAGGGACTACTCTATTGTTAAAGACCAATTATTGGGCTTCTTTCTGGAGCTGAGCACATAGGCCAAAACTCTGGGACATCATCTTTGACTCCTACTTCATCTGCCAGAGCCAATCACTCCCCAGATTCTGCAGTTTCTCCCCAGTGCATCTCCTCTTCATCCCTCAATCCCTATCCTTTTCTTGGATTTTTTGCAGCAACTCCTACACAGGTTTCTCTGTCTGTAATGTCCTTCAAAGTGGGCCTCTAAAAACAGAAAACTAATTGGGGTGCCAACCCTCTTTACCCTTTTCCTCACTAACGAAGCTTCCGTGGCTCCCCGTCATTCTCTGGATAAAACCTGCACTCCTCATCAAGGCTTCCACCACCCAACCCCTACCTCCACCCTTCCAGCCTCACCTCCTGCCCCTCTCCTCCACGTGTCCTTTGCCCAGGCCACTAGACTAGTATATAGTAGAAGTTAAGAGCATAGAAGCAGAGACCTGGTTCTCCATTCTGTTCCACCATTTACCTGCTGTGAGTGTTTGTAAACATATCAATTCCCTTCTCTAAGCCTCAGTTACCACATCTGGAAAATGGGCATAATTATAATACCTACCTCCTAGCATCACTGTAGGGATGAAATGAATACATAAGGTGCTGAGCACAGTACCTGAGACTCTGAACAGTCACTATAGTTCTTATACTTTCCTCTGCCACCAAGGGCATTTTTTACTGTCAGTCTTACTAATTTTTTATTACCCAACTCAAATGTCATCTCTTGGTAGAAATTTTCCTTGATATTCACACTCTGTTCCCCAAGTGAAATCAGCCTCACTCTCTATACTCGCTTGCACTTTGCACCTCTATAAAGCACTTGTAATGTGCACTCTTTCTCCCATTACCCCAAGAATTCCCTGAGAGTAGGAACAATAGTGCCTTCTTTCTTTCTTTCTTTCTTTCTTTCTTTCTTTCTTTCTTTCTTTCTTTCTTTCTTTCTTTCTTTCTTCCTTTCTTTCTTTCTTTCTTTCAAGAGAGAGGGAGAGTGTGAGAGAGACACATCAAATGCTTGTCTCCCGCACGTGCCCTGACCAGGGCTGGGGATCAAGCTTGCAACTGAGGTATGTGCTCTTGATAGGAATTGAACCCAGGACCCTGCAGTCCACAGGCCAATGCTGTAGCCACTGAACTAAACCAGCTAGGGCTATAGTGCTCTTCTCAACTCCAGCACAGAGCCTGGCATGCAGCAGGTACTCAATAAATGTTGGTTGAATTGAATGAAGTCACCACTCTGAGTGCCTTTCTTGAGTACCTGCAGGGAGGAGACCCGAGTGATGAGATAGCTGGACTCTGCTGGTACTTGACTGCTCAGGTCCTACTTCAGCTCTGGTTCGGGGCATATTGGATGGAGGAAACTCCTGACCTCTGGGCTCTTTCTTCGTGGCAGAGACTCTTCCATCCTCCAAGGGAGTGAGAAAGAGGGGAGACGGGGTGCGGAGTCGAGGTGTTGGACAGGGATGAGGTGGGGCTCTAGCCAGAGCTGGGGGTGTGGGTGGGAGCTGGCAGACTCCAGCTCCTCTAAGGCCAGGGTTGGGCCTGGCAGGATGTCCTCACAGCCCAAGTCCCCACCTGCAATGCCCTGCCTCATCCCAGCACATGGATTAAGTGACTTTTCAAGTTGTAAAGCTACTTCTTGATTTGCAAGGAAGCAGAATACAAGCCTGTCCTGTCCGGTTGCTGAGCGGGGAGTGTTTCCTTTTATTCTCCTTTCTGTGTAGGCAACACCTTGCAATCCTGGCGTGCATCAAAGAAGGCAATACTCAATTTTGCAAACCTAGATTAAGGTCACACTTTCCCCAACTGCTGCTTCAATTGCTGCTCCTGCCACTCCCCTAATTTAAAACCCTTCTCTGTTTGCCTACTCTCCTCAGGATAAAGCCCTAACTTCTAACCCAACCCACGAAGCCCTGGATGGTCTGGCCCTGTATACTTCTTGGACTTTCTCTCACTTCACTCTCCCGCTGCCTTCACTTCATGTCTTCTGGCCTTTTCTCAGTTCTTCCAACATACCCTGCCCCTTCTTTCCTCTGGGCCTTCACACATACTGTTTTCTCTGTCTTGGTTGCTGCTCACTATCCCCTGACAATTTTGTTTTATGTTTAGTGCTTTTGATGCCTAAGAAATCCTTGCCTGTCCCAAGGTCATGGAACTATTTCCATATATTTTCTTCTAGTGGCTTTGTGGTGTTAGCTTTCGCACTTAGGTCCACGATTCATGTTGAATTAATTCTTGTGTGGTTCAAGGTAGGGACTGAGACTCATTCCCACTCTGTTACTTCCTACTTCTTTACAATCCTGCTTATGCCTCCTTTGAGAAGCCCTCCATGACTACTCCTGCGCGAGATCCGGTCCTCCTACTCCACAGCCCATAGCACCCTCTATTGTAGCATTTGTTACACTCGTAATTAAATAATTATTTGTGTAATTACTTGTTTAGTATGTCATCTCCTCGAGTGTACTGTCGCTCTGTGAGCTCAATGCTTGTGACTATCTTTTAAAAAACTTTTCACTGAAATATATCAAAACATATAGCTTGGTGAATTTTCACAGACTGCACACACTATGTAATGGTACCCAGATTCAGACATAGAACATTCTGATGCTGCACATTTCTTATACCTAGAAGTCCCCTCATGTTCCTGCCAGCTATAACTGCCTTTTTTTTTAAAAAAAAACAACCCTTTTTTTTAGCACTCAGCACAGGCATTATTAGGCTCTCAAAAAGAAATCTTTGTGGAATGAACGAATTAGTTGGTGATGCTTAATTCTTCTTCAAAGAACTGGACATGGAATCTAATATCTCGGCTCCAGCTCCAGCTCAGTGTGATCTTGAAGAGGTCACTCCTGCTTTCTAGGTCTCTGTTTATGAAATGGAGGTGGATGGAGGCAGGTTGGACCAATAATCTCTTTGGAGCTTTTCCAGATACGGCATTTGAGGCAAAACTGCCCCCCTGGGTTATGAAAATACGTCGTCAGGGACTCTTTGGGTCTCCTCCCTGGAGACGAGGGCCTGGGAGGGTTAGAAACTTGATGCAGGTAGTATGTCAGAAGCCCGAGCCTTAAAGTCAGAAGGCCTGGGTTTGAATCTTGGCCTGACCTCTGGGTGACCTTGGGCCAATCTCTTCCCTTCCCTGGGCTCCCTGGATCTCTTCACCTAAAATAAGGCGTAGGTTGACCTCACACACTAGAAGAACAGTGATGCTGGCCCCAGGCCTCTGAGCATCGAGGTTCAGTTCCTGCAGCAGGGGCAACTCTGGCTCCGGGCTCCTCCCTGCCAGGCACGGTGGGGGGAGAGGGAAGCACAGGATGTGATCACCGCCCTGGGGCAGGGAACTCGAAGTCTGGCTGGAGGGACCCAGTGTTCAGCCAGGAACCAAATGGAAAATGGGCGGATGGTCCAAATGATTCTGTGTGTGGGGCTGAAGGGAGAGCGGCTGGAGTTCCAAATAGGGGCAGGAGACCTGGGATTGGGGGGCGGGGTGGGGTGAGACAGACATGGCTTCCTGGGGGAGAAGCCTGTGGAAATTGGCAGGGCAGCCTAGGGGCGCTTCCCAGAGAGGGGAGGAGGCAGGAAGGAGGAAATTGGGTCCAGGTGACCACAGAGCAGCAACTTGGCCAGGGAGTCGAAGAGGAGGGGCTGGCGGGAGCTTGGGCAGCCGCCCCACAGCTGGGCTTTAAGGGGGGGTTGGGGGGCCGCCTCTGCTCTGGCCCTGGGAAAGCACCATCTTCTCAGGCCGCAGGCTGGGAAGCAGGGCATGGTTGTGAGCTCAGGCCAGAGGAGCCTCTCTGAGCAGCCCCCGGGGCCCTGCCTGGCTTTGCTGGGCTGCAGAGGATGCGGAGCTGAGTCAAGCTCCAGTCCCCGAAGCTCCCTCCAGAGGACCCTCCCTCCGGCTTGGATCACTTTTCGGCCTCTTCCTGGCTTTACAACTAGGGGGCACTCAGAGCCCCTATCCTGCATGCCATTCCTTAGGCAGGTGACTGAGGCAGAGTGGCTGCTAGCCAAATTAAGAAACTGAGTCATAACTATGATAACGGGAAAACACAGCAGAGCTTATAGTTAAGAGCGTAACTGCCAAGGCCCCACTCCCAGATCTGCCATTTATGAGCTGTGTGAGCTTAGGTCAGTCCCTTAACCCTTCTGTGCCTCAGTGTCCTCATCTGTGAAGTGGGATGATAACATTACTTATATCATGGGGTTGTTGTGGGGATTAAATGAGATAATAGAGGTAAAGTATGTGACTGTGGCGCACTGCCACTTCAGAGGCAGTAAAATGAACAAGTTCGGAGTCGCTGCTCTAGTCTG